CATTAATAAAATTAAAACTAAACCCAAGCATACGACTGCAAGATTTCAAGACACAGTAAGTTAATTCTGCGTAGATCAGACCATAAATAATAACTAAAAAGCTGAAGGTATTCTAGGTTAACAATGATATCGGGACACCTCAGTCACCCGTGAACATGAGTGCTGGAAAGCATCCGAAACGACGGAAATTAAAAGTCAAGGAAATTAAACCTGATAAAATCCGTAAATGTAGTTTTAATCAATGTGTAGTGTTCCCGTAAATATAAGAAATTATTATAAAATAATAACAATAAAGCGAAATTAAAGTATGACTTGAGTAAATGCGCCTAAAGTTTGTCTTTATTTCAGTCATATTAGTTATCAGAGTATAAGTTGTAAAGACGGTAGCGCAGTGGCTGGCTACAGCGCCACGGCATGACCCTCGAGTTCTAATTCAGAACAAGTATTTGTATGACCTATAAATAATTGTTTTTGGGTTCGTTTCTTTTACGTACACTATTTATTATACTATGTTGTTTATTACTGTGTTGTATGTTATTTATAAAAGTAAAATGCTTCCACGATTAAAGAGATATTTCTGGTCAGCACACAATAAAATGCTGCTGGCCGTATGAGGACGCTCAAAGTCTATGCTATGCTCGGGGTTTCTCTGCGTGATAAACTTAGAAATGAGGATATCCGCAGTAGAACCAGAGTGACCGATATAGCCTCACGAATTAGTAAGCTGAAGTGCCAACGGGCCGGTCATATAGCTCGAAGAACCGACAACCGATGGGCATAAAAGGTTCTCGAGTGGCAGCTTCGTACCGGTAGGCGAAGTGTGGGGCGACCCCCCACTATATGGAGCGACGACCTGGTAAGACATGCAGGAAGTCGATGGATGCAGGTGGCTCAGAACCGTGCTTTGTGGCATACCTTGGGGGGGGGGCTATGTTCAGCAGTAGACTTGTGAAGGGCTGTAATGATGATGATGATGATGACACAATAAAATAAAATTTGCCTTAACGTAAAATTAAAGTCCGTCACTTGTTCTCTAATAATATACGGTTATAAGAAATGCTAGATAGACCTTATAGCATCTGATCCATGTAAACAGCTTGTAACTATATCCTGGCTATTATTTAAAACTACGGAAGTGTTTATTTCAATTTAAAGTAAATTAAATGTTTTATCAATCCGTATTAAGTTTCATTACAAACGTAAAGGTAAACCGTTAAGCTGCTATGATACGCGCATAATGCACGGATCGCGTGAAATCAGACAATATATACCGACGATTGACTCGGCTCAAAGGAAATGAATAGATTTCATTTTAGTGTCATTTGTAGAGCTAATGGCGCCGCCTACTAATGTCACGGTGGGAAGCGAGCACGACAGGGTTGAGGGAAACGCGTAAACACTGCTTTGTCTACCCGTCATCACTTGTTAACGATCTGAAATTACAATTCATTTGTAACTGTTACTTAGTTTTTAGTACTCAATTATAAATGACAATTACACTGTTTATAAAATTAAAAATGAACAATTAAAACTTATTCGCATAATAAACTTGCAATAATAGTTGCATCGAGTTGCCGGGCCGAGCTTCGCTCGAAATTGTGTCATAGACTCAAGAAGACTGGGATAGGGCATTGTTTTACATTTAGGCTAGAAAATCTCTGTACGATGAAGACCAACATCAAAGATTGCTACGAAGATGAGAAGAATGCTTTGCAGAGGCGTGTTTTGAAGCAATCACATCTTCTAGTGGGGGTTCTGCTAAGTTTTGGGCAGAAATAAATTCGATGGATCGTACGGATTAACTCTTCATCGAACACGGCATGCTGATTTTACATCGACACATAACAGAAGTTCGGACTCCTTATGCAAAACCCGCATTGACTGCTCTTGGAAAAAACTCGATTTTTATGGAAGACAATGCTCGCGCCCACCGGTCTGGCTATGTGGAAGCATATGTGCTAGAGGTCGGAATTCGTCGTTTGGATTGAGCATATCGAAATACCGACCCATATTCCATAGAGTATTTCTGGGACATTCTAAAGCGACAAATGAGATCAGTGCAACCGGCTACGCAGATCATCAGAGAGCGATAGAATGTGATTGCCGCGGAGTGGGAACGTATTTTTTAAGAAATCACAAGAGATATACTCGCTACCATATCCAGACGAATGCAAGCTGTAGTATCAGTAAGAGAGGGTGCTTTTAATTTATTAAAGGAGATACGAAAAAACGTATTTAATTTTTACTTAGCAGATACACTACTAGCACTTTAATTTTTTTTCTCATTGATTTTTATTCTCATAACAAACATTACGATTAAACTGACGAAAAAACTATTCCTTACTAATTAATTCACAAAATTCTGAATATAATTCTAGGAACCTAAAAATTATCACACAATCTAACAGTAACAGTAAAATTGGTTCATTACTCAGGTACCAGTTTTCTGCAAGAGTTTATTTTGAAGTCGTATACAACTGAAGTCAAACAAGAGTAGCGTGGCGAAATATTTCCGCTTCGTTACCGTTTGTGTTGCTACTCAACTAATTTTTATTTATTTACGTAATTTTAAATTTGTATAAAATTTTATTGAAGTTTTACTTGTTAATACGTCAAAATACCGTCTTAGACAAAATTATAAATAAATAAAAAATAATGCTTTTCTCTTAAATTATAGCGTGTTCTAATAGAAAGTAGCTCAATTACATAATAATGTCTTCTTTGTATTTTCCCCGAAAAACTGCCGGCTATAAATAATACCGTATGTCATTTCTCAGCACGTATGAAATTTATAACACGCGGAACGATTTCGAAGGGCAATTTATTTGTAATAGAGCCGATCGGCCGGGATACGCCTGACAAAAATAGTGTGGTGTAATGTACGAGGTAGTGTTGTTTAATGTAATATGGTTTGGAGTAAATTTAGTAAAACTCTAAATATTACTTATTAGAGTAACGCTCTATTGAAAAATATTTTTTTTAATTGCACGCCTCACAACGCGCGAGCGTGTGGTACTCTAGACATGCCGTTATGTGACGATTTCACAATGCAAAATTGTTAGTGTGTCTCAATTTAGACACTAAATCAATATAAAATAGGTTTTTTGAAAACTAGATATATTAAATTATGGTTATCATATTTTTATTCATTTGTTTAGCTATATTAAAAAAATGTAGTTTAAAATTATTAGTGCAGCTGTCAGTTAGTTTGTGCACTTGTTTGTCTTCAAGTTTCAGAAAAATATACGCAACGAAATGAAATAAATCATTCTCAATAAGTTTCCATTTATCTTCGGATGATCTCTATTGCTGGTTGTAATCAGACTCATAGGTGTTTAAAAGATATTTATTTTTTTCATCATAATTTCATTTCATTTTGCAAAACGCCCGTAAGACGTGTACTTTTGGATTTTCTGAACAATTTTTATTCTTTTTATATTAATTTACAATAGGCCTTGAATTACCGTCCACTTAATTGTTAAAACGTGTTATTGTTTCTGATTCACGATTTTCTTAGAAAAAGAGTTCATGTGGTGTGTAGGCAAACAAACAGAATCGGGACAATTATTTGTAGGCCATTTTTGTTGCGTAAGGCTTTCGAATCCACGGCCTGCAGTTCTTTACCAAACGCTTTTCGACTGCGTTCCACTGTAATATAAAAGAAATATTATCACAATAGGGTATTTTTCACCATGTCAAATGAATTAAAAAAATATTTTATTTAGATTTTGTAAAAAATAAACGAGAAATATTGATTTTCGTTTATAAAATTGCATTATAAATTTTAAATATACATATTTTCGTCTATTCCTGAAATCTACAAAACGCTGTCGGCCATAATAGAAAATGTCGTGACGTCACTGATCTAGCCTAAGGATATCAGTGTTCTGTGTTACTAATTAAGAGAACCAGTTAACGTGCTGAGTTATTTCGAAATTTTTAAGTTATAATTACTATTATTGAGTTTTATTCCGAATTTTATTTAAAAGGCATCATGGAAGACGAATTCGTAAAAACAGAAAGTACTAATCCACCAAGGATGAATAAATTGATGGTGGCAAAATTTTTTGCATGCAATCCCAATTTTTGTTCTGCCGAGTTGAGGAATGTTAAAATATCAGTGTAAGTACCTATTACCAATTTTTGTTTACACAAAAACACACTATCAGGTCAGAGTGTATTTTGATAAAACATAGTTTAGTAGCTATCATAGTTTAGTTTGTCTACAACTACATTCATTAGCAATCATTAGTTATAATTATAATATCTAAGTTAACGTAATTTATTAAAAAATTTGACTTACGAATACATTTCACCTCATGATGTTTTGTCTTGTATTAAACGATAGTTAAATATAAATCATACATCAAAATTAGCTTCACAGAAGTATAGTTTAGATTTTGTAAACAATGCCTTCGGGTCTCTTCTTGCCAGTTTTAACGAAGTATTTCTCATATTTAAATCAGTTGGCACTTTAATCCATAACTTTCCCCTGGCGTTCTTGTGCTCGTATTTTTGCATTCAGACACAACACAATGATACATATGATAACTCATTATTAAACATTAAAAAGTATATTATTCCTTTGCAAAATCGGCAGAATCGACAACTGTGACGTCACGTGTTGAACAACATGGCGGCTAGCGTTTTCACGCGAAAATTTAAAACGATAGATTAAAAGTAATTTTTATGGCGCTAAAAAAACATTAGCACAAAAAAATTATATAAAAATATAGTAGTTCATTATCACTCTAGGATTCATTTAAAACAATTTTTGAAAATGGATAAAATACCCTATTGTTGTATACATAGTATAGTTCCCATCACTAAATATGTCAGTGTTCAGTGATAGCGAATAAAATCGCCGTAGTGCCACGATTTGCGACTTAATCACTTTATTGGCAGCAAGGGAGTCGGGCTTATCAGAAAGAAATGTCGACCCAACTCGCGCTGATATATGAGTAAACAAGCTTGCACTTTTCCTCGGTGACTTTTGGCGGTCACAGAAGCCATAAACTCGACGGTAAAGTTTCGATTGCGCTTGTGGGGCGAGCATTTTTATAGTTGTTTTCGTTCCTTAAAATCGATTTTAAATCGTAATGTATTGGTTTACTTGCCTTGTCAGTGTTGTCATCGTCACAGTCTCGTGCATCTGAAAAGAACAAGTTCATTAGTACCATTTTGAAACTTTGTTCATTATAATATTAATGTTACCAGCAGTATTTTTTTAATTAAATGTGATCAAGAAAGGGGTTCCAAGCAATGTACATAAAGAAATCTGTATACACTGGGCAGTGATTAGCCACGTCGAGCACTACCAAGCGCACCGGACCTAAATATGTTTGTACTTCGGCTTTTACAGTACACATGCCCAATATCGGATCCCTCCTGAGGATCAGCTATTACGTAGCCTCTTAACGGCGGACGGTTTTAATTAAAAACTTCTACATTAGCATATTATGTCCGTCCAATCGTGATACTAATCCCTTCAAATATTATTTAATTTGGGACGAGAGTCTTATCCCATCCTCATTTTGAAAATACTATAGCGGATTTATAACAACTTTAAAATTTGTTTTGTATGCTTGTAACGTAGCGTAAAATGTTTCTCAAGTTTTCAATAATCTCAGGACATTCATAATTTTCTTTATTTAAATATGTCGCACATAATATATTATTGCATTTTATATTATTCATATTAGTATCGATTACGAAATACGTATTTTCCCTAAACAGTAAGTGGGTTATAGGGGTTGTGAGGCCTAAGTAAACAGCACGCAAGCCTCAAGTAGCGGAATCTTAGTCGATAATAAACAAACGCAGGTGGTACGGTTATGCCCTCAACTCTTAACCTATGTCCGGGTGGACTTGGGAAGTATTCGCGAGCGTTCAAACATACCGGCCGCATATCATTATGCATGCTTCGCTGGGTTCAAATACGGGGTAAACTAACCCTGGGCTAATGTTTTTCGTATATTAACAGTGCCGTCAAATTATCCCCGTATGTGGAAGGTGTGGTAATATAAGCAATATTCTAGTTGCTTTGACTATTGAATTGTATTGTTTTTAATCAATTAAAAAAAGGAGGTGGTTCTCGATTCAACAGCATGTTCATTTTTTTACTTTAGCGGTGTACTCATATAAATTTGGAGAAAAAATTTCATTCCTAAAGGTGAAAAAGAAGGGGATGAAGTTTTTTTAGTAACTGTAAAAATTATTCTCTAGTCGGCTTTCAGCTCCTTTGTCAACTCAAATAGGTCAAAAAAGTAAAGTATTAACTTTAAAAGCCGACTTCAATGAACTTATTAGATGATAAATTAAATTGAACATTTTAAAAATCACCGAAACAAAATGTGATGATAATCTTTAAGGGGCTTTTTTTATAGAATAAGGGTGACAAAGGAGCACACAGTCCTGATGATAAGTGGATGCTGTGGCCCATAAACATCTATTTTTATCCGATTAAGAATCAAAACGCAGATGAGTTATCACCCTTGAAGACTACGATGAAGTGTCTCGTTTCCAGTAAAAAAGGGTCTCCAGATCTCTATACTCACTATACGAAACACAGCAGTATTAAGCAGGTATTCTGTGAGAGCGTGGTCCTTCCCCGGTCTTTCCACGTATAAATTAACGTATAACGGCTTCTTGAATTATAGCTTAGAAAACTATTCGTAAAGTCAACTTTTAAACAAAATATAAATAAATCTAAATCGGTCCATACATTTGGAATTTACGATTCCATAAACAGATACACAGATATACAGATACACACGTTAAACATATAACACCACTCCATTTGTGCTAGGTGTTAAAAATTATTCTTAAATTAATATAGCTTTAATAGTCGGAGCACTAATTTTTCCATACACAACTGTTATAAGTTTTAACACCTTTAGTACCTGTCATAGCTTCAATAGTCGGGGCACTAATATTTCTTTACACTACTGTTTTAACATCTTTAGCACCTGTCATAGTTTCAATAGTCGAGGCACTAATATTTCTGTACATTTGTGGGTACCAATATTTCTATACACAACTGTTTTAACACCTTTGGCACCTGTCATAGCTTCAATAGTCGAGGCACTAATATTTCTATACAAACTGGGACCGACTTCTCAACTTACTTTCCCTGCTGTTCACCTATTTATGGACAGTGTTGCAACTAAAGATGAAGAATGTGGTTAAGAATAGGCACCACCTTTTGTATGCCATGATAGCTTCAATAGTCGGGCACTAATATTTCTATACACAACTTAACACCACCTGTCATTTAATAGTTGAGGTACTAATATTTCTATACACAACTGTTTTAACACCTCTAGTACCTGTCATAGCTTCAATAGTCGGGGCACTAATATTTCTATATACAACTTTTTTAACACCTTTAGTACCTGTCATAGTTTTAATAGTTGGGGTACTGACATTTCTATACACAACTGTTTTATTACCTTTAGCACCTGTCATAGCTTTAATAGTTGGGGTACTAATATTTCTATACACAACTGTTTTAACACCTTTAGTACCTGTCATAGCTTCAATAGTCGGGGCAATAATATTTCTATACACTACTGTTTTAACATCTTTAGCACCTGTCATAGCTTCAATAGTCGGGGCACTAATATTTCTATACACAACTGTTTTAACACCTTTAGCACCTGTCATAGCTTCAATAGTCGAGGCACTAATATTTCTGTACAGTCGGGGTACTAATATTTCTATACACAACTGTTTTAATACCTTTAGCACCTGTCATAGCTTCAATAGTCGGGGCACTAATATTTTTTTACACAACTGTTTTAACACTGACTTAGGTTGAAAAGTCAGGGTTTTAATTATTTTGTACCAGTACTGCCTTAGTACAGACTTATGAAGCTATTTTGTGGAAATAATTGTATTCTTTTTAGTACCTTCAAGTCTATTGTTAATTTTAATTAAAACTTTATTATTTTATATACAGTCAAGCCATTTACTCAGATATAAGCAACGTATCTTAAGGCCTACTTAGTTAATATAATTTTCTGTCTCCCTGGTTACCCTTATGTAATAATTTAGAGGATAATAATTATTTTGTGATTAATTTAAATTTGGTAGTCTGCTCCGATATAAATTTTGGACTGATAATTCGAATGATCACTCAAGTTACTTAATAATTCCGAAAATATTATTATATATTTCAAAGATACGTTTTCTCATATAGAAATCACTAAAAATGATAATAAATTGCTGACAAATGTTTCCAAATATATGCTAACTCTGTCATATCCGACGTGTGTCCAACCAAACGTTAGCTCCTTTTGTGCTTTGTGTGTATTATTGACACAGCGTCCCGACAACCTCCGCTGTTGACAATGATCCCATATCATTTAAACTATGACGTTTGTATGTTATTGGAAAAGGGTAAGTGTATAAACCGCTTGACGAGTGGGCGGCGAATTCTGGTCTCAGGGCCTGAGTACAAAGCGTTCAACAACCTCCTCGTTTAACCCCTTCTCAACTTTAGACAAAGAACTAAGTGAAGATCATTGAAAGAGACATGCAGCGCAGTCGCGAGTTCAGCATACATTTTGATGGGCCGTTACTCAATAAAAGACCGCGTGTTTTTCAGAACTAGTTTGTGTTTGGAAAGAAGAGTGTTGGTATACCGTTGCGTCATTCTCCCTATCTTCCAAGACTCTGCGGGGCTGCATATAGTTGAAGCGGTAATAGTGGGACCGCAGAGGAAGAGGAGTTTTGGTTTAGCAAAGTTCTGCTTTCCTTGCCCTCCGCGGACGGATCTTATAGGCGGTGTAGCCATAGACAAGATTCACCGCTGGGGTCAGGAAAGCTGGTGCCTCCGAGTTCTACAAGAGAGGACTATGTCCGTTATTGGACTTACACACACTGTTCAAGAGCATCGAACGCTTCCCACGTTGGATGATCGTCAGTGATATTTTTAAACTAAGACTTGCGTTCAGAATAAATGTTAAGAGGCTGCTACTCTGGTCATGAAATATAAGATTGAGTGCTTCTGAAACATCCAGTCGCCTCGCTACGCTCCACGCTCATCACTCAGGTATAGTTTGTTGTTTATTTATTGATTATATATAAATCGGATTATGAGAGTGAAGGAATAGAGAGTGCACCTGTGCTTACGCATACACTTGGGCTTGGTCTGGAGGACGAATTTCGGAATTTTATATAATACCGGGTGGCCCATAAGTCCCTTGAAATGTAAAAAAACAATTAAAAAAAAACTAATGACATTATGAAAAAGATTTTTATTTTGTCATAATCCTTATAAAATGGGAATTATTTTTTGAAAATTACATCATCTAAATGTAATCCGTTACGATCGCGGCACTCCTGTAAGCGACGTTTAAAATTATCCATCACTGCGCGGCAAGTAAGCTCTGTAATGTTTGCCATTTCTCTTTGGATATTTTCTTTCAGGACGTCAATTGTCCGCGGGTTGGTTTCGTACACTTTAGTCTTAAGATAACCCCATAAGAAGAAGTCCATTGGGGTCAGATCTGGACTACGTGGTGGCCAAGGAATATCTCCTCTTCGAGAGATCACTTTATTAGGGAAAAGTTGACGGACGACCCGCATAGCGACGTTAGAGGTATGGGCAGTTGCTCCATCTTGTTGAAACCAGAAAATTCTGCAACTCTGGTGTAAAAAAATCCTGGATCATAGCTACATACCGTTGTGAAGTAACGGTAAGCGCGCGGCCTCTGCCGTCTTCAAAAAAGTAAGGGCCTATAATGCCATGCGCTGACATAGCCGCCCAAACTGTCACTTTAGGGCTATGTAAGGGCTTTTGATGTTTGCGATTTGGATTATCGCAACTTCAATAGCGACAATTTTGCTTATTGACATGGCCGTTGATGTGAAAGTGAGCCTCATCAGAGAATAACACGTTATTAAACGAAGTAAAGCGGTTCAACATTTCATTTGCGAAATTTAGTCTGTGGATAGTGTCAGTATCTTTTAATTCCTGTACTACTTTGAATCTTGTACGGGTGAAAATGTAAATCTTTCTTTAAAATTCGCTGTAACGATGTTCTGGGTAAGTTTAATGCACTGGAACGCTTAAGAGTAGACTGGGTAGGATTTTCACGAATTGAGTGTTTCTCTACATCGATGTTTTCTTCCGTCCGTGATGTTCTTGGTCGACCTGACCGTTGTTTATCCAACGTCGAACCACTCTCTTCGAACTTAATAACCCAGTTCTTAATCGTTTGAACACTTGGAATGTCTTTAAAGTTGCGTAAATTCTGATATTCTCGAAATTTACGCCGCGCAATGGTAGCCGAATCATTGTTTCGATAAAACTCGCGCACACAAAATGCACGGTCCGCACCGGTGAAACGCTCCATGGCGACTGAATTTCCAGAAACCGTCGGTACTCCCCCCGCACCGCGCGCGCCACTCATTCGCGCCTTTTGTATTTTATTCGAAATTTACATTTCTAACGACTTATGGGCCACCTTGTATATAATCGCTAGTACGTCTGTTAGTGATCATGTAACTTCTGAACGACTTAGACGATTAAAGTCATATTCACACAATAGGTATATGAGTATTTGTTATATAAAATAATTTTTATATTAACATTTTAAAAAGTCCGGAGTGAATTTGGACTGAAATTCATCCCACCACCTACCAAAAGTGACATAAAATATATCTATAAAAACGTCTTCTGCGCCAGCTAGTATAACTTAAAACCTTCCAAAAAGACTAATGATCAAAAAATGAAAATGGCATAAGCTGCTGTTGAATTTTACTTGACTCGGCGAAATGTTGCACTGAATCTTATTTATTTTGTATCAATTTTATCTGACCGAGTCTGAAAGCTTCGCCCTATTTTATTATACGGTCATGAATTAGCAAAAACAGAATGGATTTTGGCTGTGATTATGTCAAAAATAATTAATTATTATTGATCCGGCCGCGGGCAGGGGAGCGGATTGATGGGTGGCACCGAGCGTCGCTCTTTAAAATTAGAAAGCTAATTACTTGGCTCCGCAAGAAAAACCTCGATAGGAATACGACATAGATTAACGAGAATTTCAGTTCTGTAATACTAGCATATATTGTAAATATACACATAAGTAAAATTGGAAATAAAAAAAACATTCTAGTGTTAGGATGGTTTCACACGACGTGAGAATGATCAAGTTAGGTTAATGATCAGTAATGAAATTAATCATTCGATCGATACATAACTGTACAAGTACTACAGTCACGTAAAAAACGTTTTTAATATTCTAGATGTATCGATATTAAAACGTTTTTTTTTGAGGGATAGCATTGGAAATAAAGATATCCGCAGTAGAGCAAAAGTAACCGACATAGCCCAATGGATCAGTAAGTTGAAGTGGTAATAAGCTGGCCATATAGCTCGAAGAACCGACAATCGAAGGGAAAGAAAAGTCCTCGTGTCTTGTATCTGTAAGTAAATCTGGTGCAACCCACTAGATGGAATGATGACCTGGTAAGACACGGGGGAAATCGATGGTTACTGATGTAAATAAGGAACGTATTTTGCGGGATTCCTTGGGGCTTTGTTAGTTGTGAAAAGTTGTGAAGGACTGCAATTATGATTATGATGATGCACTTTGATTTTTCATCATTGATAGACGAAGGTATTTATCAGCCGAAGCATATATGTACTTACAATCAGATGAACTGTTCTGTTCTGTTGTGAACTGGAATTCACCATTGAGAATAGGAGTAGTTTTGGTGATCGGTCAATTTCTTCATTCATTAAAGAACCGCGTCCGTGCTCGGCCTACACAAACAGTTGCCACAATGTGCACGTTGAGAATGAGCTAACTTTAATTTAGCCTCCACCCTCTCTGTCCATCCATAATGAATTACACCCTCTGTTTAGTTTTAAGAGACCTCGTGTGTGACTCACATTTTATATCACTCACTTGACACATCAAAGCTACTTTTTAAAACACCGTCAGCAATAAAAACTTATTTTGCTACGTCAATAAATCACGTAGCAAAAAGTTTTCGAAAAGAAAAATACTAGTCATCGGCCTCTTTTTAAATTAACGCCATTAGCTTCAAGATTTCCGCCTCGCAATAGAGTGCAAAGATTGCCTCTCTTCGTTTGAGCGGCTCTAGTAATTAGTAACGCTCGAGTTTTATTTGTTGACATTCATTATGCGTTGATTTTGTACGTTAGGGGCGAGTGAGATGGAGATATTTTTGTAGAGGTTGGAAAGGGAAGTTGCCATTCAATCGTAAGCCTGCACCTGCCGCCGCACAAATTTACAATTTAAATTCCAAACGAATATTCTAAGAGAACCTCCTTAACACGACATCTGTTTAAATCGTCGGTGATAGAGTGACTGCTGTGGTCTGGAAAATCTTTGTGATTACGAATTAATTGAAATAAAACAAAACCCCTTTTGTTGGTTGGTGAAAATAGAATTGTAATATTTCAATCTCATGTTTCATTTCAGGTGGCGGCATTGCAGCGATCTCTATAATCAATATTGGATTGAAAAGTTCGGTAATATAAAGTGTTTTGGAATTAAATTTTCATTTGTATTTGCTTACATTGTATAATTATTGTAATGTAAACAATGTAGTTCAATTAC